TCTCTCTCTCTGTCTCTCTCTCTCTCTCTCTCTCTCTCTGTCTCTCTCTCTCTGTCTCATTGTGTCATATGGATTACTGTTAATTTATTATGTTGATCTGTTCTGTACGACATCTATTGCATGTCTGTCCGTCCTGGAAGAGGGATCCCTCCTCAGTTGCTCTTCCTGAGGTTTCTACTGTTTTTTTTCCCCGTTAAAGGGTTTTTTGGGGAGTTTTTCCTGATCAGCTGTGAGGGTCATAAGGACAGAGGGATGTCGTATGCTGTAAAGCCCTGTGAGGCAAATTGTGATTTGTGATTTTGGGCTTTATATATAAAATTGATTGATTGATTCCATGAGAACGGTACAAATTGGACTTTGACATTTTCACTTTTTTTTTTTTACCAAAATGTATTACTTTTATGAACACCCTACAACATTAAGGACATATTTAACCACCAGAAAAACATATTTCCCATCTCAGGCATCAAATCCTATCATTATTGGTCATTATTTCATGATATGGGCACTGTTATTCTTCAACCCTGTTATGTACACTATGGAAGCTGTCTGAATAGGATTATGAAATCTTTTTCTAATGAAGTCAACATTTTCATATTAATCAGATGTCCCTCACACTAATTCAATAATTTCAGATACAAAAATGACATAAAGCCTAAAGCCGGAAATGGCCATTTTTGTGACATAAAAAATGTGGTTTTACTAAAGAATTTTAACCAATATCAATAATTTTCTGATAGCTCTAAACATTTCAGACAGAAATCAACAAACATTTAATAACTTTTTCATAAACTCTTGAAAAATAATGTATAAAAAAGTAGGTGTGATGGGGTTAAGAGTAGGCTAACTGGGTTAAAGATGGTAACAGGGTTGAAGGGACACATACAGCTTAACATATAAATAGTTATTTTTTAAATCTCAAATTCACTGTATGATCTCCTATAAACATTCTATTTCATTATGTAACCATAAGGACAATAGATGTACATTGAGTTATTAACCCAAATGAAAAACAATGACAACTACATCAAAACATTATAAATCAAAACATTGCTGTTACACATCAAAACTGAATAGCTCATCAAAACACAATGTAACGTGTGTTTTTGGGATGTCTGTCTGTCTGTCTGTCTGCATGTGCATTTAGTATGCATAACTGGCCTGTGGTCTCAGGCAGAAGAACCATGCCTCATCTGGTCAAATATACTTTTAAAGGCCTCATGAGAGGTGGACTATAAAAGACACCTTGTGTCTGTTGCATGCAGAAAACTTGAGAACTGACTGAACATAATCAAACAGTAACAATCTTAGTGTGTGAAAGTGTGTGTGTGAGTGAGTGAGTGAGTGACACTCTTGTCCTTGCAGTGGACACACTCTCCATACATGCAACTCTTGTTGGTTGAGTTGCAGCACACCTCCTCTACCAAGTGTTCAAGACTGGCAGTCTCAATAAGTTTCAGCTGAGTGAGCTTCACGGCCACAAAGCGTGTGTCTCGTTCAGAGATCGTTGGATTAACAACCCAAAAAGGTCAAAGGTAACAAAAAAGGGAGTGTGAGATATTTTGTTAAGGGTTTTCTGATAAAAATGTTCTGTGAAGATTTTGCAGTGTATCCACCAGGAACCTTTTCTGCATCTTGAGTTTATTCCTTGTGAGTGTTTGTTTGGTTCCTGTGGTGATCCTACTGACGTCATCTCTTAGATAGAATGCCTTTACTCTGTTCTTGAATTCGTCAGTGAACCTATTGATCTTCTTCCCTTCAAAATGAAGACTCTTGTTGTGTTTCCAATGCTTACTTGAAAATCCAAGGGTCTCACTAGCAAATCTCTGCAACCTGTATCTTTTTATGATTCTCCCTGTTGTCACTTTTGCAATCAGTTGTCTTTCCCTTTCCTTGGTGGCTTGCTGGTATTTATTACTGATATCCTGAATCAGTGGTAGAGCAATGTCTTCCTGATTTGGGGGTTAACAGGGCAATTTGCTGTTAGCTCATTCACCTTTGACCGTGGTGAATCAGAACGCTTCTTCAAACGTTGGCACCTCTTTTTGTATTTTTCCATCTTTTTTCTCTCTTTGTTCAGTTTTTCCATAAGTTCTTCTGTTTGCTCCTTCAGCTGGTTTCTTTATTTTCTGTGCTTGTTCCGTGCCGCGTGACATTGCCTAAAAAACACAATGAATTGGTCAACAACTCTGTGATGTTATAATGAAGGTCAGTCAGTCCGGAAAATTGCAAAAACTTTAAATGTGTCCCCAAGTGGAGTCGCAAAAACCATCAAGCGCTACAACCAAACTGGCACACATGAGGACCGACCCAGGAAAGGAAGACCAAGAGTCACCTCTGCTTCTGAGGATAAGTTCATCCGAGTCACCAGCCTCAGAAATGGCAAGTTAACAGCAGCTCAGATCAGAGACCAGATGAATGCCACACAGAGTTCTAGCAGCAGACCCATCTCTAGAACAACTGTTAAGAGGAGACTGCGCCAATCAGGCCTTCATGGTCAAATAGCTGCTAGGAAACCACTGCTAAGGAGAGGCAACAAGCAGAAGAGATTTGTTTGGGCCAAGAAACACAAGGAATGGACATTAGACCAGTGGAAATCTGTGCTTTGGTCTGATGAGTCCAAATTTGAGATCTTTGGTTCCAACCGCCGTGTCTTTGTGAGACGCAGAAAAGGTGAACGGATGGATTCCACATGCCTGGTTCCCACTGTGAAGCATGGAGGAGGAGGTGTGATGGTGTGGGGGTGTTTTGCTGGTGACACTGTTGGGGATTTATTCAAAATTGAAGGCACACTGAACCAGCATGGCTACCACAGCATCCTGCAGCGACATGCCATCCCATCCGGTTTGCGTTTAGTTGGACGATCATTTATTTTTCAACAGGACAATGACCCCAAACACACCTCCAGGCTGTGTAAGGGCTATTTGACCAAGAAGGAGAGTGATGGAGTGCTGCGGCAGATGACCTGGCCTCCACAGTCACCGGACCTGAACCCAATCCAGATGGTTTGGGGTGAGCTGGACCGCAGAGTGAAGGCAAAGGGGCCAACAAGTGCTAAACACCTCTGGGAACTCCTTCAAGACTGTTGGAAAACCATTTCAGGTGACTACCTCTTGAAGCTCATGGAGAGAATGCCAAGAGTGTGCAAAGCAGTAATCAGAGCAAAGGGTGGCTATTTTGAAGAAACTAGAATATAAACCATGTTTTCAGTTATTTCACCTTTTTTTGTTAAGTACATAACTCCACATGTGTTCATTCATAGTTTTGATGCCTTCAGTGAGAATCTACAATGTAAATAGTCATGAAAATAAAGAAAACGCATTGAATGAGAAGGTGTGTCCAAACTTTTGGCCTGTACTGTATATATATATATATATATATATATATATATATATGTTTTTGGTTTTTTTTCCAATTGTTTTAATTTTTTAAGAAAACATTTTTAAAGAAAATGTAGCTTTGGAAGGAATCTTATTTTGAAAGAGGCAGATTTATTTCTCCTGAACTTCCTCCACGTCACCAGTAAGCATGTTTATAAAAACAACAAACAGCTGAAACAATCAGTAGATTAATTGATTGATAAACGTCAGATCAGTTCATAGAGCAGTTCATATAGCAGTGGGCCTCACAGCAGTGTTTGTACTGGGTTATAAATCAGTCCAGTCTGTGGTCTGAGGCTTAGAGCTGGATGAAGTCCGGCTGCAGAGCGTCCTGCCTCCTGATTGGCTCTTTGCCGAGGTCGTGTGCATCCAGGTGAACCTTCATGTGGACGTCTCGGGAGCGTTTCTCCTGGTAGCTCTTTCCACAGACGCAACAGGCGTACGGCTTCTCGCCACTGTGCGTCAGCAGGTGTTTCTTCAGGTCATTCTTGGTGACGAAGGCCTTCCAGCACAGATGGCAGCTGAACGTGCGCTCCTTCCTGTGGAAGCGCACATGCGTCTCCAGGTAACCTTTGGTGCTGAAGCTCTTGTTGCAGAGGCCGCAGCTGAAAGGCTTTTCGCCGGTGTGCGTCAGCGTGTGGGCGTTGAGTCCGCCCACCTGCCTGAAGGCCTTCCCGCAGACACGGCACTGGAACGGCTTCTCGCCCGTGTGGATCCTCTTGTGGACCTCCAGGACGTGGACAGATGCCAGGCTCTTCCCGCAGGTCTCGCAGGAGACGCGGGTGGTTGGTTTGTTCCCGGTGTGGTTCCTGATGTGTGTTGTCAGGGCGCCGTTATCAATGAACGTCTTCCCACAGAACTCACAGATATATGGGCGCTCCCCGCTGTGGATCCGCTTGTGGCGCCTCAGGGCGCCGGGCCGCGGGAAGGACTTCCCACAGATGGCACAGCGGTAGGGTTTGATGCCGGTGTGACTGCGCATGTGCGTTTCGATGTTCTGGTAGGTCTTACCGCAGATGTGACAGATGTTCCCAGCATCCCTGTGAGTCAGCAGGTGGTCTGTCAGTGTCTCTGTCGGCGGTAAAGCCTCACCGCAGATGCCGCAGGTGGACTCTGCTGAGTGACTCTTGGCATGTTTCCTCAAACTTCCTTTACTCTGAAAGGACTCACCACAGACCTTACAGCTGTGAGTCGCCACCTTGGCGTTCTCCTCTGAGCTCGGACTCTTCTCCGTCTCAGACTTTAGACTTGGAGCATCCGCCAGTGGCTCGGTGTCCTCATCGATGTGGCTCCTGATGTGAGTCTTTAAGGCACTGCTCTCGATGAATGTCTTCCCGCAGTGCGGGCAGATGTGTGGCTGCTCACCACTGTGGATCCTCTTGTGGCGCCGCAGTGCTCCGGCTCGGGGGAAGCGCTTGTTGCAGACGCTGCAGTGGTACGGTTTGTTTCCTGTGTGGCTGCGCATGTGCGTTTCCATGTTCTGGAACGTCTTGCTGCAGACGCCGCAGGTCCCACTGGTCTCTCTGTGAGACCGCAGGTGAGTCAGCAGGGCGTCTGGTGAGTCCAGCGTCTGTCCGCAGACGCCGCAGATGCTCCGAGCATCCCTGCAGTGCGTCTCAGCATGTTTCCGCAGGAAGCCGCGGCTGTGGAAGGAGTCACCGCAGACTCTGCAGCACAGCGATGATGACCTCCATCCATGTCTGTCAGTCTTCGCTCCAGGCGTCTCCGGCTGAGCGTCCTCGCCCTCGCTCTGGTCTCTGTCGTCTTCGTGGGTCTTCAGGTGATCCTGGAGCGGCTGCTGTTGGCTGAAGGTCAGTCCACAGATGGGACAGATGGCATCCGTCCTCCGGCTGTGAATCTTCTTGTGGCGCCGCAGTGCTCCGGGTCGGGGGAAGCTCTTGCCGCAGACGTCGCAGCGGTACGGTTTGACTCCTGTGTGACTCCTCATGTGCGTGTCCATGTTCTGAAACGTCTTCCTGCAGATCTCACATGTCCCCCCACCACCGCTGCCGGTTTCTCTGTGAGATCTGAGATGTTGGACCAAACTGTCTGAGGACTTGACTTCTTCTCCGCAGACGCCACACCGCGGCCCGTCTGAGTGCGTCTCTGCGTGTTTCACCAGGTTCCCTTTGTGGCGGAAACTTTTTCCACAGATGATGCAGTAGTGAGTTGCTGCCGCTGCTGCGGCCCCTTGAAGCCTCAGCAGTCCTCCCATTGTCCTGTTTGTGTCTTTAAGAGAGGACGAGTCATCGCCGCCACTCCAGTCATCGTCGCTGTCAGCTGCTGAGACATCTGAGGAGGCGGAGCTGGCCAGGGTCATGGGGAGGCGGGCAGGGTCGACCTCAGATGGCAGGCGGTGGTTCTTAGGGGCTCCAGACGTCCTGATGCCATCTAGAAGAAAAAGAGATTGTTAAATGTCTGAAAATATTGTTAAAATTAAAAAGAAAAATTAAATAAAATGTCAGAAAAAATGTGAAGAAAATGTTCAAGAAATATAGTTGTAATTTCAGAAATAAATGTTAATAAAATGTCAGGAAAACTGTTAAAAAATGTAAAAAAAAAAATGTTGCTAAAATGTCCAAAAAGATTTCATAGATTGTGGGAAAGGATTCCTTAAGTATAAGACAAAGATTAGGAGAAAACCTTAAATAGTTAAGTGAAAATTTTAAGGGACCTGAAGATCTGTTTGTAAGAAAGCCTTAACATGGACTTTCAAGGAGACCTATTGCGCTTTTTTCAGGGTCATATTGATATAAATATGTAATATTGGGGTCTAATGGAACAGATGTATGTGCTTTAATGTTCAACACACACATTATATGTCTTACACTGCTCACTGCTGCAGCACCTCTGTCTGAAACGCTGTGTTTGGGCTGATGTCCCGCCTCCCCAGCAGCCCAGTCTGCTCTGATTAGTCAGCTCGCTCAGTCTCAGCCGTCGTCATTTTCAATATAAGTGAAGAAACACGAGCCAATAGACTGCGAAACAGCTTCGAAACAAACACTGGAGCTGGACGTTTCTCCTCAGTGGTAAGTTTTTATTTTGTAGCCGTCTTATATTTCAGCTGTAACAATTAGTGTTTGGTAGATTATTTCTTTGTTGTAACGAAGCTTCTTCTCAATAAATCTTATACCGTTGGAAAGCCTGTTTATTTCCCTTTTAAATGGTGCCACATTTGTAAGGAGCATGCATTTGTGGGATGAGCCCATGAAAAATTTGCCAAATCTTCTCTGCCAATGCCAAACAGCTTTTTTTTTTGCTGTTGACTCTTGTTTTGAGCTTCTGGAACCTGAACATGTGGAGGAACGTTATGTTGAGCAATGAGTCCAGATTCTGTCTGCAGCAGTTGGATCGTAGGGTCAAAGTGTGGAGAAGACACGGAGAACACTTTACTGACTGCTGCACCGATAGAGTAACATCTTTTGGTGGAGGCAGTGTGATGGTGTGGGGCGGCGTCTCCCTCACTGGAAAAACAAAGCTTGTCATCATTGGAGGCGACCTCATTGCAGAGATATCGAGATGAAATCCTGCAACCAGTGACAATCCCATATCTCCACAGTCTGGGACCAAACTGTATCCTCCAAGATGACAACGCTCGCCCCCACAGAGTGGAGTTTATCAGAGACTACCTCCAGACTTTGGGAGTGGAGAGGAGGGACTGGCCTGCCAGCAGTCCTGACCTCAACCCTATTGAACACTTGTGGGATCAGCTTGGGCGTGCTGTTCGTGCCAAAGTTACCAACACAACCACGTGACACATGCTGGTTGAAGAATGGGATGCATCCAACAGCAGTGTGTGACCAGGCTGGTGACCAGCATGAGGAGGAGGTGCCAGGCTGTTGTGGCTGTGTATGGTTCCTCCACACGCTACTGAGGCTCCTGTTTGTTCAATGAATAAACTGTTAAATTGCCAAAATGTCTCGTTTCTTCAGACGTCAATCATGCAAACAAGAGTCAACAGCAAAAAAAAAAAGTATCTTAAACTGATATCGCACCAAATGAAAACAGCCAACATCTAAAAAGTTAAACAGGGTTGTTGTTCTCAGCAGACCAAACATACCAACTACAATGTTTAGTAAGGATACAGTGAACGGCCTCCATGTGACAGAGCTCCAAGTGATAAAACACGTTGTACATTTTCCATGAAACGTTTGATAAAAGCTGATTCACAATCAAACTGCCACATGTTGACAAATAAACGCAGGTCTGTTTGCTGCCTGTCAGATAATCGCTCGAGCTAGCTGCAGTTAGCTGCTTAGCTCGAGCATCACTCATAGACATGTTGAAACTTTTGTCAATATGGACATGCTTCTGTTAGACTCTCCACAACTCGGTCCTTAAATTCATCTGACTGAGACTAGCAGTGTGACTCACTGGACGCCGCACAGCCGGTTAGCCGAGGCCTACAGCTAAGCACTGGGTGTTAGCTCCTACAGCCATCTACTCCACACTTCAACACTCTGTAGCAGCTTCCTAGTTTGTTTTTACACAACAAAGTCACAACTCATAAAGCACACTTACAGGCTGTGATCCCCAGTCTCCAGAGGCAGTGGGGCACTGTGTGCGCTAATAATGTTACACTGTGATGTCATAAAGTCACGAAAATAAAGGCAGGAAATTCAAACAAGCTGTTTGAGGCAGGTCAGGAGCTGTGTGTGTTTTTACTGAGCAGCACAAACATGTTTTATACACTGAAGAATCTCAACAGGTCCTCAGGAGTCCTGGATCAGAGGCAACCGGCCCTGCTTGTGTTTGATGAAGACGTTTCACCTCTCATCCCAGAAGCTTCTTCAGGTTACCGTGGTGCCGATCACAGGTCCTCTCTGATCGATACCTCTGATCACCTGTATGAGACCTCTGGTTACCTAGCAACAGTCAGCTGTGTGACGTGTCTCCGTCATGGCGGTGTCACACTCACCTGTCCGGGTCAGTCGGACCACCGGGTTCAGCACCGCCTCCAGCAGCCGGCTCTGCCGCTCCACCTGCCGCCGGTACTCCTCCACCTCCCGCTCCAGCAGCCCAACGATCCGCTCGGTCGCCGCCGCCAGCCGCTCGGTGAGGAGCAGCCGCAGCAGCTGCAGCAGGCGCGGGGAGCCTCCGCCGGAGCGGCCGCTCCGCTTCTCCAGCACCTCCAGCACCTCCTCCCCGACCTGGGTGAGCTGCTCCGACACCGACACCGTCAGAACCCGGAGCCCGCAGCGCGGCGGGACTTCTGTCAGAGACATCCCAGTATTGAGCTCCGTCCACCGGGCAGCAGGAAGGAAAACAAGACGGAACATATCCGGGTGACCGGGGTCACAACGAGGGAGGCTGAGGAAGCTGCCGCCTGCTGGACCGGAGGACACACTGCAGGCTGAGGACGCCACAGAAAATGTCAGGAAAAAAATAATAAAATGACGGTAGAAATGTTAATAAATGGTTAGAAAAATGTTAATAAAATGTCGGGGAAAAATTCAAAACTTGTCCAAAAAATGTTCATGAAATGTCGAAAAATATGTTGATAAAATGTCAGAAGAAATGTTCATATGTCAGTCAATCAACATTTATTTCTATAGCCCTTTACAAAACCCAAAGGTACCCAAAGTGCTTGACAACAGTGTCAAATAACAATCAAAGTACATGAAGTAGGGCGGCACGGTGGTGTGGTGGTTAGCACTGTCACCTCACAGCAAGAGGGTTGCCGGTTCAATCCCGGGCGTGGGAGCCCTTCTGTATGGAGTTTACATGTTCTCCCTGTGTCAGCGTGGGTTTCCTCCAGGTGCTCCAGCGTCCTCCCACAGTCCAAAGACATGCAGATTAATTGGTGACTCTAAATTGTCCGTAGGTGTGAATGTGAGTGTGAATGGTTGTCTGTCTCTATGTGTCAGCCCTGTGATAGGTGAACCCTGCGACCCTCAAGAGGATGAAGCGGTTAGAAGATGAATGAATGAATGGAGTACATGAAGTACCACACACACACACAAAATGTTGGGAAATGTTAATTAAATGTTAGAAAAATGTCAATAAAATAAAACTTCTGAAAAAATGTAATAAACATTTTAAGGGAACCTGAAGGAGAAGACTTTATTTTAATAAAACTTTCCTGGACTTTCAGGAAAATCTCACCTTAAGGGTTTCCTTAAGTATAAGACCAAGATAAGGAGAAAACAGAGAGGAGATAAAAAAACAAAGTGAATTAGCTGTTTATTAGTGGGATAAATATAAACCAGTGTTTGCCCAGTTGACAGCGCTAACATTAGCATGCTAATATTTTACCTGTTTACACAGGTAACACAGAGTCAGGTCGACCGGTAGGGCAGCAACAGTACATGCGGCTACACTAATGTTATTATTATTATTATTATTATTATTATTATTATTATTATCATTATTAATATTATTATTAGCATTATTGTTATTAACATTATTGGCATTATTAGCCTACACATGTGGTCAACGTTGTGTCTGTGTCACTCTGCAGTTACTCGGCAGTGGAGGTTTCTGTGAAGTGCTGTAAAGTTTAATTGATTAAAAACACACATTAAACTTTTAGCCTATTTTAGCCTAGCAGCTAGCGGAGTTTTCCTCATATGAAGCAACATTTAAGAAAGGTAAGGTTACAAAATTCAGCTCCATTACAGCTCACAAGGTTCACTGGCAAAACAACTGTCTTATACTAAACACATTTTCCGAACAAATATAACACGCCAACTTTATTAGCACACATCTGTGGCATTTTACGTTCTATAAATTAGCCTAGCAGCTAGCGCAGATTTTCTTTTTTCTTTAAGATATTTTTTTGGGCATTTTGCCTTTAATTGATAGGACAGTTAAGTGTGAAGGGGGAGAGAGGGAGGGGATGACATGCAGCAAAGGGCCACAGGCTGGACTCGAACCCGGGCCGCTACGGCAACAGCCTTTTACATGGGGCGCCTGCTCTACCACTAAGCCACCGACGCCCCTAGCGCAGATTTTCTTAAGTAGTTTGCAGTAACGTAACTTGATGCTATGGACACATTGTCGTTGCCGTTAGCTGTTTGCAGCTAGTTAACATTAGCTGTTGCCTGTTGGCAGTTGGTGACATAAGCTCTTAGCAGTTAGTGAACATTAGCTCTTAGCTGTTACCAGCTAATCATCTTTAGCTGTTAGCAGTTAATTAATGTTAGTTGTCAGCTGTCAGCAGCTAGTTACCATTAGCTGTTAGCAGTAAGTTGATGTTAGCTGTTAGCTGTCAGCAGTTAATATCCATTTGTAGCTAAGTAACATTAGCTGTTAGCTGTTACCAACTAGTAAACTTTAGTTGTTGTGAGTTAATGTCAGCTTTTAGCTGTCAGCAGCTATTTACCATTAGCTGTTGGCAGCTAGTTAACATAAGCTGTTAGCTGATGGCAGTAGGTGACATTAGCTGTCAGCAGCAAGTTACCATTAGCTGTTAGCAGTTCTTTAATGTTAGCTGTTAGCTGTCACCAGCTAGTTGTTCCTGGCCTCATATGAGAAGAGGAAAAGTCTGCTAGCCACTAGGCTAATTTATACAATGTTAATTGCCATAGGCTTGTGCTAAAGACATTAGCATGAAACTCCACTGCTGACTACTGTTCTGGAGGTGCAACACAGACATAGCGTGAGCCACATGTGTAGGCTCAGGCGTCGACTCTGCACACAAGTTTAAAAACGTCTTTTACATCACCACTCGTTCAGCTGTTACTGCTCATAACGCCGTCCCGACCCAACAACACTGCTGTGAAGATACTGCGGCCACCCTCCAGTCTCCTCCCAGCTAGCCCCACTCAGTAAGAGGATCTATTTTGCCCCAGAAAGACCCACTTTAGCATCATTAACTACTGCTAGCTCTGTTAGCATAGATGGACAACTGACGGTGTTGACGTCTTCCCCGTCTTATAGGCCGTCTGACAAAAAGGTTAACTATCCCTTTAACAGCTGAACGAGCAGCGCAGCTATAATGTTAGCTCCCACCCGATGCATGTGGTGCAAGGTGCAGAGCAGCTAAGACTAACGTCTAGCGGCCGCTGTGTCTCTGCATGTTAGCATAGCTAGCTGCTTTGAAATGTGATGCTAAATCTTGCTGACTCAGTTGAGCCAGGGACTGAAAGGAACGGTGTCGGGTTAGCTAACATGTAAGCTATACTGTAGATAATCAAATGTACATGCTAACCCTAGCTGAAGTAACCACTAACCATCTTGTTTTATACCTTGAAACCGGCATATTGCTGCAACCCTATGGTTTAAACATGTGACCTGAAACAGACGTGTTGTTTAAAACGTTCCGAGAACCGCATCAGAATGTTTCCTATTAGCGGTCAGTACTCTGTCTACAGTTGGATGAATCCGTGGTAGAAGCTGTCTGTCCTCTGCTGCCCTGAGGTCAGATGATGTAGCTCCGCCCCCGGCTCCTTGCCCACAGCAGCTGCGGCAGCGTGGACCTTGAGGTGTCCGTTGAGCGAGCGTTTGGCCTGGAAGCTTTTGCCGCAGACCCGGCAACTATACGGCTTCTCTCCGGTGTGGATCAGCATGTGTCTCTTCAGGTCCACCTCCTGCATGAAGCCCTTCCCACAAACCTGGCACAGGAAGCGGCGCTCCTTGTTGTGGAAACGGACGTGAGTGTCCAGCGTCTGTTTCTGCGTGAAGCCCTTCCCGCAGAGGCTGCAGGAGAATGCCCTCTCACCGGTGTGGATCTTCAGGTGCGTCTTCAGGTTGCCACTCTGGTTAAAGCTCTTCCCGCAGAAGCTGCAGGAGTACGGTTTCTCCCCCGTGTGGATCCGCATGTGCATCAGGAGCGCCGCCTGCGCTGGGAAGCACTTTCCGCAGACGTGGCAGGTGTTGCAGATCTCCCGGTGGGAATGCAGGTGGGCGGCGAGGCTGGTGGCGGACTCATACTGGTGTCCACAGAGTCCACAGCGGCACTCCGGGTCCTGTAGGTGAGCCTCCACGTGCCTCACGAGTAAGGTCCTCTTGTTGAAGGCGTCACCGCACACTTTGCAGAGGAAGGACGGCGGCGAGCTGCGATATCTCTTTGGTTTGCAGCCGGTGTCCTTCTGATGAATCGCCATGTGTCGCCGCAGGCTGCGCTGCTTGCTGAACTCCTGGGCACAGATGCTGCAGGTGTGCACCTCCTCACTGCTGTGCTCCCGCATGTGGCGCTCTAAAGACGTCATGTGACAGAAGCAACGGCTGCATTCTTTACATTTGAAGGGTTTCTCAATGGCGTGGACGCGCATGTGCGAGCTCAGGTTGCCCTTCTGGCTGAACTTCTTGCCGCAGACGTCGCAGCTGTACGGTTTCTCGCCCGTGTGCAGACGGACATGCAGCTCCTGCGCCAGGATGGACTGGAAGGTCTTCCCACAGAAGGAGCAGGTTTTACTCCTCTCCTGATGTGTCTGCAGGTGCGCCGTCAGCTCGGCGGCCGAGTCCAAACGTTCACCGCAGAAGCCACAGCAGCAGTCCGGGTCCTTGGCGCAGACCTGCAGGACGTGTTTGAGCAGGAAGCCTTTTCCCTGCAGAGAGCGTCCACACACGTGACAGCTGAAACTCTGAGCAGGGGTGGACCTCTTCCGTTTGTTTTTGACCGCGGCGAGCGGCGGGCGGCCTCTCTTCTTTCTCCTCACAGGTCTCAGAGTCTGAGTCTGTACAGTCCAGTCTTCCTCTGGAATGCCGTCGCTATGGACGTCCGAGCTGCTGGGCGAGCAGGGCGGATGGTAGGTGGGGGAAGCAGAACGAGGCGTGGATGGGCAGGAAGCGTCGCTGCCGATGCGCTTGGCTCTGGTCTGGATCAGGTCTGCAGCATCGAGCGGAGGCCTAGAGGTCGAGTGGTGCTGAGTCCACAGAGAATCTGAGGAGACACGACAACACTCTTTTACATGTCATAACGAGCCAGGAGACACACACAGATACACACAGACATGATAATATCGTATCGTGGGTCCTCTGGTGACTACTGCTGCCTACAACCTCTTTAAACGACTCCTGTTGATCAACAGTTTGTTGTCACTGTGAGAAGCAACAGGAAGAACTTTAAGAGGACTTTTATTTTGAAAGGAAGCGTCTCTCCGAGACTGACCCGCTCGGTGCAGCCGGACTTCAGGCTTCAGCACAGCATCCAGCAGCCTCCTCTGGCGGCAGATCTCCCGCTCTGACCGCTCCACTCTGTCTTCGTACTCCGCCACGGTTTCCTCCAACAGACCGACGATCTCCTCCGCAGCCGCCGTTAACCGCTCGGTGAGCAGCGCTCTCAGCTCCGGGATCTCAGCCGCTTCTCTCGCTTTCTCCAGCCGCAGCAGGAAGTCTTCAGCGGCGGCGCTGATCCGCTCATGGACCGACACCCGCAGCAGCTGCACGGCGCACATCTTCATCCGTGTCTGCGGACAAAGACAGAGAGACAGCGGTGGAGACGTAAACACACACACACACACACACACACACACACACACACACACACACACACACACACACACACACGGGGTTCCGCGTCGACGACACTTCGCTTGGACCACAGCAAAGTGGCCAAGCGAACAGCGAACCCTGCTGGAGCGGAGGGCGAACTACCGTCGGATTAATTTAGATTTTTAATAATTTAATATTTATTTATTTAATACAAATTACATTGGGCCATAAAAATGAAATAAATTATTATTCTTGTCATGTTTTTTTTTTTCTGGTGAATATTTTTCAAAAAAAAGAAAAATGAGAACATGTTCTGAGTTAGAAAACCTGTACTTGTCTGCAGAACCTAAATCTGATCAGTGATACCTGTAGAGTCTTAAAGAACCTGGTCTTGACAACAGAACCTAAATCTTGTCAGTGGAACCCAAAGAATCTTTAAGAACATCGCCTTGTCAGCAGAACCTGGATCTATTCAGTGATACCTGTAGAACCTCAGAGAACCTTGTCTTGTCTGCAGAACCTGAATCTTGTGAATGACACCTAGAGACCCTTGGAGAACCTTTTTTGTCAGCCAAACCTTAAACTTGTCAGTGGAACTTGTAGAACCTTAAAGAACCTGGTCTTGTCTGCAAAACCTGAATCTTGTCAGCAACACCTGGAGAACCTTGTTATATCTGCAGAACCTGAACCTTGTCACTGACACCTACCCACAGAACATTGGGAAACCTGTAGAACCTTGGAGAACCTGTGGAACTTTTGAGAACCTGTAGAACCTTGGAGAACCTGTGGAACTTTTGAGAACCTGTAGAACATTAGAGAGCCTGTAGGACCTAACAGAACCTGTAGAAACTTACAGAACCTGTAGAACCTTGAAGAACCTGTAGGACCTTAGATAACCTGTAGAACCTTGAGGAACCTGTAGAACACTAGAGAACCCATAGAACCTTTAAGAACCTGTAGAACCTTGGAGAGCCTTAGAGAACCTATAGAACCTTGGACAACCTGGAGAACCTTATAAAAACTTGTAGAACCTTGCAGAACCTGTAGAACCTTGGAGAATCTGTGGAACCTTAGAGAACCTGGTATTGCCGGACCTACAGAACACATTTTCAGAGAGAATCTTTTTATTTCATGTTCCATAACTTTTTTTCACAGTTGATGTTTTTTTTATGTTCTAATGTCGTTCCATGCAAAAACATAAAGAACCATGTTCTGTGTCTCCATGGAAACGATCAGGTGACAGTCTATGGTTCCTGGACATGCCACTAACAGTCACAGGACTCCTGAGGAGCTGCTGTGATTGGCCAGCAGCTGCAGATCGCATGGCCTCTCCTGTCGTCCTTTGCTCTGTGGGCCCATCCTCATCTGGGGGGGGGGGGGGGGGGGCATTTCCCTTTTTCAGAGTCGGGGGCGCGGAGTCTCCTTCCTCCTCCCGGTGACATCATTGTGACGCTGTTACGTCATCGCTGTGATGTCATCANGGGGGGGGGGGGGGGGGGGGGGCGGCGGCATTTCCCTTTTTCAGAGTCGGGGGCGCGGAGTCTCCTTCCTCCTCCCGGTGACATCATTGTGACGCTGTTACGTCATCGCTGTGATGTCATCATGCAGCATGCAGCGGCAGAGGAGGATTATGGAACTTTTTTTTAATTTTATTTTTTTAAAGGCTCCGCCCGGTGACAGCGTGTCCCCCTCCTGCCCCCTCCTGACCTGTTGCTATGGCGATACAGTTGGTCCCGGACATTATGACTTGGAGCCCTCAGTCTCCTTGTTGGTCAGCGGTGCCAAGGCGGCATCCACCAATGAGGTGGCAGGAAACAGTTTGAACCAGCCAATCACCATGTTGGACAGGTCGAGATCGTCCAATAAGATCTGAGCAGCTCCCATAAAAGATTTATGATCCATCCGACCGTAGTCGCCCCAAACGATGATCTGCAGACACACAGGATATATTTGCTTATATATGTGTTTATATATGTATGTACTTACGTACCTACATACATATATACAGACAAACATATGACATACACATACACAGACATATATAGTTATATAAATATAAATATAAGATGTGACCGACCTGCAGAACTTTGCCTTCAGGGTTTTCTTCAAACTGCAGCTGCTGCTGATAAAGAGGGTCGAGTGTTTTTCTGGCCAGACGAGTTCTTCTCTTCAACACACACTTCCCGTTATCCATCAGGTACACCTTCACATAGGGAGCTACACACACACACACACGCTCATTTAGCCTTCAGCTAACATGAATACTGTTTTCTTGTTTATGTCTTTTTTTTTATAAATAAAGTTCATACAAACATGAAGTTATTTTATATGAATGTGAAATAAATTGTATTTTTACCTGGAGTGTTTTTGTTGCCTTGTTTACCCACAAGTCCCCGAGCTCGGATCACCTCCACGTCCAGACGCTCCTTCCTGTACACCATCCCGATCTGGATGTCACCTAGATAACCACCGAGCAGCCAATCAGAGGAGTTACTGTCATATGATGTCACGGATTCTGACACAGTCTCTGTTTTATGGTGTTATTAATTAATAATAAAAATAATAACAGTTTTTTTTCCTTTAAACTGTCACTGATGGAAAAATATAAACACTAATATATGAATACTAATGTATGAATATAACAAACATATAGCCTTGGTATTAACACTCATGTATAAATATAAAAAAATGTATAAATGTAAACAGTGATGTATAAATGTTAGATATAAATATAAACACTAAAATATAAATACATGTAAAATAAATACAGCTCTGGCTCAGGCTTGCCCTGTACCAGCCCCTAGTTAGGCTGACTTAGGCCTAGTCTGCCGGAGGACCCCCTATAATACACCGGGCACCTTCTCTCTCTCTCTCTCTCTCTCTCTCTCTCTCTCTCTCTC